CATTGAACCGGAAGTACCCGTGGGCCCAAGGGGCATTCCCAATTGGGTCCCAGACGAGGATGCAGACGAGGACGCAGACGAGGACGCAGCAGAGCSGGCACCATTAGTCATTGCTGCTGCTCTGGCTGCTGCTGCCTGCTCTCTAGCTGCTTCGTTTGCTGTTGTCAACGCTRCTGCAAGAGCACGGGCTCTTCGTTTGGCACGAAGCCGTCTTTCTTCTTCCGGTTGTAAGGCCTGAAACACGTGAGGGACCCTAAGTGCCCTTGAACGTGTTAGTCTCCTATCGTCAACTCTACCCTCATCGGCGTCTAACCCACTCATCAGTTAGGCAAACACTGTCTGCACTAGAACCCCCTAGTGGAGTCCTACCTCAACATGTGTCTGACCGGCACCTAATTTTCTAAAAATAATTGTGTCCGGCAGGTCCCCTACTTTACCGATCAAGTGGCAGCCTACAACATTCACAAAAGACTGTCAACATAGTTTAGTTCTACTGTGATTAGTTCTCTTACAGCAGCATTAGGTAGAACTGGCTATGGTAGTATACAACAGTCCTACTCTAACCTGTCTGTGAGGTGTTAGCAGCTGTCAATCAACTAATCAATAATAAAACAAGACTATGTTGCAGATGTATGAATAGTGGGTATGGTTGTGTAGCCAGTTGAGCACCAATTAGAACCTCCCCTCCCCTCAATCCAACATACCGAATAGCATCAATGAGCAGCGGTGTCTTCGTGTGTGTTGTCGGCCCACCCCTGTGCCCAAGTCATTGCCGAGCAAGCCAGCCAGTCCACTCTTATTTACCCTCGTACGGAACGAGCCTTCCTACCCGGTTGATCTGGCTGATCAGGAGGAATATTAGGAGCGCCCCCATCTCCTCAGGAATTATTCAACGTCGCAGTCAGGACGACGATCACAGCCAGAATCAGTCCGAGTCCCCAACCAGAAATGTTTATAGACGGTCTGCTAAGCGTCTCATAAAAGGCTGGCACACCCGGCAGGACTTCTACAGAGCAGCAAAGTGCCAAAATGGACAGCAGCCATCGCATGCGTGACCTACTCCCATTGGGTTGGCATGGTGACCGTGACCCAATGCTTCGACCAGGGCCCTTCAGAGGCACCGCCCTTTCTCCTTCCAGATGCTTACGGGAAGATTGTCGTCTCTCAAGGTAGCGCGCACACGACACCTCACCAATTGAGCTGAGTGTGCATTTGATGAACAACGTACCTGGAGATAGCTGCCCCCAACCACAGATTTCTCACCAATTGAGCTGAGTGTGCATTTGATGACCGGTCTTGGCCTCGGTGCCACCCACAACGCAATGCAGTGCCACCTCAGCCGAATGCCACATCAGCATGCTCTCATCACCAATCATACATTCCGCCTGTCACCACGGCAATTAATGTCGTCTTAGCCTTCCGCCGCACACCTCTCTACCCAGGTCGTGCGCCTAGTATGGCCTGACGTCACAAGAACCAACTGCGAAGAAGCATCGTCAACGCACCAAGTCTGTATAACGCCAGCGCACCAAGGTAAGTGGCGAATCAAACCAGCTCCGATACCAAAATGCAAGGAACATGAATGTGGACGAAGCACAGAAATCCAGATTGCAAAATCACACTGAAGTCCGAGTAGTCAAAGCAAGAGCAGATAGCACAATGGAACCGACTAACCATCCATTTGAGAACGATACAGAAGAATCGTGATTCGTGAGTCAATGTCCAAGCCCAATCGGGCAACACCAACAACATAACCCAATGTAGCTCTCTGTCTTGAATGGCGCCTGGCGCCCTACCTACTCTACAGCCTATCAATACAACTACAGCATGAAAGCAACCAGACAACTTGACGACCAGCGAGTGATGATGTCAACACCAATGCCGACYTCCTCTCCACCAGGTACGTCCCACTCTTCACCCTCACTCTCCCTTGTTATCCCACACAGCGCCCTTCACCTCCGAAGAACCACCTTCGCCCTTCACCTCCTCTGCGCCCACAGGCAGCCCGGCTATGGCTGCCAG